CCGGCTACTACAGTGATTCTTGCAATTTTGATTCTTGCTGACACCCAGGAGAAACAAAAGAGACGTACACGGTGTCAACAGTTAAGTAGAAGACACATGCTGACAAACAGTGAAGTTTCTATTTTGTGTTTGCCAGTAAAGAAGAAACCATTGACGTGAACAAAACACAACATACATGGCACACATAAATACAACATACTTCGGCGAAAGATAAAACGCAGGAAGGCGAAAGTTTGGCTAAAGTAAACCTTTTTTTGGCGAAAATGACGGATCCCGGATAAGGGAATTTAGATCAACTCCCATATATATTTGTGTTTTTTTTTGATTTTTTGGGTGGGTCTGCTGTGACGACCAGAGTGTGGCTGACCACCAAGTGCTGGATAATTCATATGTGGAACATCCATGGGCTGGTAGCTGCGCATCCACGGCATTCGTTCATTCTCCAACAAGCTACGCTCGCACAGTCCAGCACAGTCGAACATCAGCTGGTGCTTGCTGCCCCCAGTGCTGCCCCCATATTCGCTGAACGATCTTCCTCCCTGCGCTGAAATCGCCATGCCTGGCACGAAGACCAAAAATGCCGGGACGCCCCGCGGCAATCGAGGTGCGGTCGCGGCGCCGCCCCGTGTGCTCCGCAGTGCGACGACGTGGTGTATCGGGATTTGAAGCCGCACTGTGGTGCATGTTCAAAGGGAATTTCCAAGCCGCACCTGTGGAGTCCAACGAACCTGGGTCCAACGATCCATTAAAAGTCATTCAGAATTGGAGACACAATGGCGCCCAATTTTCCATGATCGATCGGGTCTTTTTGCAGCCTCAAGGTTTTGGCGGGGCGGGATATATCCTCTTTTTTTTTGGGGGGGATGAAGCCGAAAGATTGCTGTGATGTGTGGTTTTTGGAGGCCCGGGTGAAAAAACAAAAGAAAGAAAATTAATTAGTGACTTAGTGACGCAGGGGAGTCATTCTTTAAAATCAGATTTCGTGGAAGGCAGGACATCGGGAGAGGTTGCAGATTTGGTAGCGGGAGGGGGAGCTGGCGCCGCGCCTCCCCATGAACACACAAATAACCGTTTTAAGGAGCCACTGGAAGCCAGTCAGCAGCAGTCAACAAAAGACAGGAGAAGCTACCGCAGGCCAGCAGCCAACAGCAGCTAAAAGATTCCGCAGAAAGCCAACTAACAACATCTGAGAGAAGCAGCGAAGCATTGCAACCAGACGTCAGCCGAAAGCCCTTACTAAAGCCACACAAGCCAGCAAAAGCCAAAATCCAAGAGTCAAAAGCCACAGAAGCCAGCACAAAAGACAAGACCAAAAGCCACAGAAGCCACAAAGAATCTAACGCCACAAAGCAGAAGCGAGGACAAATTAAAGACCCCCCAAAAAAACTGTTTCACTCAATTTATATCCCTCCAAAGTGTTTCTGCCGTGGATCGCGAGTGGGTGTCATCGGATCCGCGCATTGGAGGTGGTGGTGATGGCAAGAGTTTCCGGCCATACCACTCGACCAACGTTCCAAAGGAGGCGGGTTTTGGGTCATTTTGTGCTGAGGTGTTGTGCTGGGGATTTTGCGGGTGAAACAACATGGTACAACTCAGCTAAGCTGGAGGTTCAAACCATTTGAGCGGTTTCAGTGCTTTTCCTCTTTGTTTTGGAAACTGAATTTTCACACGTTGGCCTAGCGCGGAGAATGTAGTTGTCTCAAGCAGGGACCCAATTTCTTGGCCTCTCCAGTGGACTCAAGAAAGGGCACGAGGAGCAATGTGACATCGAAATTCATGAATCGACTTGTTCCTAATAGCTTCTTGTTACTACTAGTAAGGCACCTGTTACTACTAGCGATGCACTTGTTCCTAATAGCTTCTTGTTGCTACTAGTTTGCTTGGAGAGTCCAACAGATTCTTCACTCCTTGGAGTGAGATGCGAAGTTTGACTGGTGGAGCTTTGAGCCCGAGCTGGTGCAGGTGGATCTGGAAAGTGCTTTTCTTCACACGGCTGGGAGCTGAGGTGGGGAGGCGGTTTTGCAAGAGCTCAGGGCCCTGGTATGCCAAAATAATCTGGGTTCAGCAAGCCAAAGCAACAGGGCCGGCAAGAACTGAAACCATGTGAAACTAGCTACTACTCGTAGTGCGACTAGTAGCGTCCTTGCTACTAGTAGTAATGCCCTAGTACTTGGTAGCTTCTTGTTACTTGTTTCTGTGCTTGTTTCCGGATTTTTAAAGCAAACGAATCAAACGGAAGAACTTATTTCACCTTTCCCAGCACTCTGTCCGGCATCCGACGACGTGGGGGCAGCCGAGGATGCTGATGAGCCGATTACGACGCTGATGCTACGGTAGGGTCCACAGGGCAACACGACTCGGGCCGGGTTGGGCGCGGGCACGATGAAGGCCTCCCGAGCGTTGAACACGATGTGGCTGGGGCCTCCCAAGCGGTGAAGAAGGCGCTCTTCAAAGAGTGCGCGGAAAGAAGGGCCAGAAACCACGTGATCCTACATGATCCTACCATGCTGGCATCTTTGGAGTTCCAAGGCAGGATGCTATGCAGACCTTGGTGCGACAAGTTCGACATTCTGTGGATCAATTGCACGGTTCATGAAAGAAATCATGTCGGGATGCACTATATATCAATTGGGAGACAATGATTTTGTCGAACATTAGGCCTCCAGGCAAAACAACTCGATGCCTTGTTGTTTAGATCGATATGCCTCATACTTGTAGCTGGACAAGATGGGACGATTTCAGTGGAATTCAGCCCTGTGGTGCAAGTTCAAAGTTGTTTCCCCCCACAAAACCATCAAAGAAGCCCACAAATCGTTGCTAGTATTCTGTTTGTATTTTGTGGCATCTTGGAACTCTCAGAGGTTCTCAAACAAAGAAATCCAGCTGAGTGATCGGTCCCACCGAGTCGCATGGTCCTCGCATGGTGAAGCGAGTGCTTCGTCGAGGGAGTCGAAGTGCCAGGCACATTCCAAACAAGTACTCGCAGTCGAGCTTGCTCAAGGAGTACCACTCCGGCTGCATTCTGGGTGGAAGAGATTTCCAAGAGTTACAGTACAGTTACAAGACTCCAGAAACTCTGCGGCAAACAAAAGATGTGACAGATCCGGGAATGGCATGGGCTTCTGGGAAATATCAAACATGCAATGAATCACTGCTTTGAGTGCACATTCTTTGCCTTTGCTTCTTGCTTTGACGTTCCCAAAGAGACGTCCCCCTCTTTGTGTCCGACGTCTTTTGCCCGCCCGGGTTCTGCGGATGCGACACCGAACAAATCACTCGGTGGATCGAGCTCCGGACCGGCTTCAGGAGATCGATTTCAAGGGTTTTCAGGGCAAGTACGACTTCTTTTACATGCCAATGGATGCTTGGCAGCGAAGAATCGCGAAGAAAGATGAAGAAAGCTGTTCAATTATGTTTATTCATGTTTGCATGGTTGTTTCATGTGTTTGTCGAGGTGTCCTTAACAAATGCCTCTCGCGCTGCCCCGATTTCTCCCAACCCCCTTGACTTGGGGGACGCAATGCCGGCGCCGGCGCCATGCCGGCGCAATGCCCACACTGTCCCGTCAATCCGAGTGACCTGGTACCAGGATGTCCACAACCGGACCAATGTGCTGGGCTCAGTGCAGCTCAAGGTGACGCGAAACAGGCAAAACAACCGGGTTATGTAAGTTATAATATAATATTGTATAATATAGTCCATGTGACAGGTTCTGTATATGTTCATGTACTGTCAGTTCCTTCATCTCCATGTCAGCTCGCTGTGTTTCAACCTCATTTTGCAGCATTGATTAGGCCCCTCATACATCATCCCACTCTCTGGTGGACCGAAAAAACCGCCCGTCCGAGGTCGGATATGCGTTTATTAACCTGGTCACGACGTGGGGGGGGCCAAGAAGGGGGGTCCGTCCGGGAGGTGGGGAGGGACGAGACATGGGATGTCATGATCAAATCGCCTTAGAGGGAAGATGACATGGCAATACCACTTCACATGGGTGTGGACCCTGATCATACTTTGGATGATGGGCCTTTAAAGGGAATGGGTGGGCAACATGAGGCTGAGCACAGAGGTGTATACTGTATACTAGTTAATCGATCAAATTGATCTTGTCGATGGCCAATGTCAGCGGCCACCAATAGAAAAAAGGTCATTTAACATAAGTATACATCAAGCCACACCTATATGTAATGTATGGTGCAGCACCCTAACGTCGTATGGCTTATAGTCACCAAAGGTCTGGCGAAGCCGACTGGCGAAGCCGACGATCCGTCGATGTGTTCGGTCCGTCTAAATCGGGATCGGCTCGCGAGCTGCCAGGCGAGATGCGAGAGACTTCTTCCTCATGTTCTCCAACTATCGGCGTGGTCCTCGTTTGGATGGGTTAAGGACGACTTTGGAAGGCACAACGGGACTGCCAGGCAAATGATGAGTGCTTTATGAATGGACATGTGTTTCTTGGTCTATACTAGCTCAAACCATGACCTTGAGCATCCTTCGATGCCTTCAGCCCAGTTGAAAAAAAGACGGCTCCCCCACGAAGGTGCACACTGCTAAACTTGGGTTCGCCAAGTGATCTACAGTTCCCGGTCCCAGTCCATCCGCTTTGGGGGGTGTGAGGTTTGAATTCCATGCCAGTGGAAAGATAGGACCGATGACGTCCGTTGGCGAGGGTGGCAGACGAAGCCCGAATGCGTGAGGGGCCATGAAGCTGCGCCGCAGAGGCTCCTGATGGACCTAAACTCCACCACCACCACCACCATTCCATTACCAGCACTACCACTCTTGCCTGAGCAGTGTTTTGTTTGGGATGTCCGCTCAGATTGGCCCTGGGCAGTGAGAGAAGGCTTGAAGGGAAAGTAAGGAAGCATCGCCTGCTTGAGAAGACAAGAGTACATGGACAGAAGATTTCTATCCATTTGGATGATAAGACCACTGGTTTTGTTTTATTAACACCAGCTTTCTTACCATGCTTGGTTGGTTTGACCAGACGTTGTAAGAGCATAGGAGGATCATTTTCCAGGTGGTCCTTTTTGCGCGGGTGCTACTATAGAGTCTATAGAGGGAGAGTAGGGAGAAGTTATCCTGCATAGTGTCAGGCGTACTCTTAAAGTAGTGCAGGAAGACTTGTGAATCACCAGGATCTGAAGCCGTGGAAGGACCTGGAAACCTAAACAACCAGAAACAAACGTTTGTTACAATTATGGCAAGTGAGATCCTTCACATAGGAAGTGGCTGTTTGGGGAAACATCCATGCACATGTTTTTTTTTCCCCGTTGTTTAGGTTTCCAGCAATCAATCAATGGAGCTTCCAAGTACCCTCCCAAATTTGCACTTCAAGATAGGGAGAAGGGGACCCTAACATCTTGGACCAACTTTACGATATCGAGCAGCATGCATGGGTGTGTATTAGAATAGGCTTATTGGTCCAGGGGATAGCCACCCAGCATTTTGCAGTTGCTTGAAGCTGGTAGTAACAAGAAGCTAGTAGTAACAGGTGCCACGCTAGTAGTAACAAGTGCCTTACTGGTAGTAACAAGAAGCTAGTAGTAACAGGTGCCTCGCCCAGAAGAGATCTTGATCTCTGCAGGAGCAGTTTCCCCTGGTCATGTCCAGGGCTTGGAGAACAACGTCGGGCGGCTGAGCAGACCGGGCGTCCTACGATGTCATCCCCCCCCCGGTGGTGTCCGACCTCACCTGGCCTCACGTGGCCTCATGACCAACCGGGCGATGTTTTGTCCAAGCGAGAAAGGAGCAAGAGCCTTCGGAGATGGAGGTTGAGTCTCATGCTTCAAACCTCTTTTTCGAAAGGAGCACTCGGATGAGTCTCATTGACTCATTGATATAAAGAGGCTCACCATGACTTACGCAGCCTTGATTCATGGACTGAGAAATGAAGGATTCCAAGTGGCATGCTTTCGCATGACCTGGGCTCCGGACAAACCCTCATGTCCGCTGCCATCAGCGGCAAGAGAAAGTCAAAGATGTGTTTTGGCAGGACTTTTGCAAGCACAGTCAAATACCAGTGAGGCAGCTTTATTGGTTGATGCAGGATTGACCTTTCAGACGGGAAGAAGACTTTGCTTAGTCCATGGGTTTAAACATTGTTTTCTGGATGTCGACGTTCGGTCTATCCACCGAGAATCTAGTGGATCAAAGGCAGTTTACCAGTCTACTTGGCAACTATGGCGGTGGATCCCCTTGTCTCATGATCATGGTTGAGAAGGGTATGTACGGTATGTACATGCGTGTACATGTATGTACTAGGAGCAAGGACGCTACTAGGGGCTCCTGGCATCGCTACTAGGAGCAAGAAGCTACTAGGGGCTCCTGACCTTACTACTATAGGAGCAATGTTTGCTACTAGGAGCCATACTAAGACCTTCCAGCTGCTCCATACTAAGAAATCAAGGTCATCCAGCTCCGCGACGAGCGCTCCGCAGGTCTGCCATTTCGGCCACCGGGCCGTTGCCACGGCGCAGAATGTGCAGTGACCGTTGTGGTTGAAATGAGGGGTGGATTCGGGTGGATGGGGGGAAAGTGATGGAAATAGGTTGGAGGGTTGATTCCTTTGGGATGACGTTACCAGGATTTTGATCATGTTGGAGAGGGGCAGAACAGATATTGGAGGCCATTACGTGCTGCAGTGTGGTGTTTGATATTACTTTGGGGAGGCATTTCTCGATGGTGTATGGGGAGTTGGGCCGGCACCCATTTGAGTGACTTGTTTGTCCTTGGCTGGTGACTTAGACACGTCAACGGACGAGGAGAGCACAACTGTCAGGATAGGTACCAGGCTTTGTCGTGATTTGTCCATGCATTTTTGTCCGTACTCGTATGTCTGTTGGGATCTGAAATCGGATTCTGCTTGAGAAAACATGAAACAACTCCTTTGTTCCTCTGGTAGTAGCGAACATTGCTCCTAGTAGCTTCTTGTTACTACTAGTAAGGCACTTGTTACTAGAAGCGATGCACTTGTTCCTAATAGCGAACCTTGTTCCTATAGTTATAATAGCTTATGCCGCTATGCCCTTTGCTCGCTACCGGACCGATCGCTGTAGCGATCGCCATGCCCGGAGGACGAAGGGATTCGAATCGCGTCGAGGTACCGACCTCTCGTCTTCCGCGATGGCAAGCAGGTGGATCTGAAAGCAGCCCATGCGCCCAAGCAGCGCGGGGTCTGCGAGATCCGGGGTTCTTGAAGGACCTTGATGTGTTTCCCATCCCAAAGACATCCATAAAAGATGGAAGGATGTCGGAAGAAATCCGGAGAAGACTACCTATTATATCGACAGTTTTAGTCACCATTTCTCCAGACAGAGTGTTGCATATCGCGGAGGCACGAGCCGTACTTTTTGATGTCGTGCCTTCATGTCAAGGTCTTTCGCTGCCCGGACAGGTCAAACTTACCCCGTTTTGACTGCTTAGACGTTAGGCTGTCGCCCCCGATTGGCGCAGAGTGAGATCCTTGCGGCCGGCCATTGCCTTCTTGATCGTGTTTTTTTGCCCAGCTTCCATTGTACAATGGTAATTAAGCTTAACGTGAAAGTCTGACTACGTTCAGAGCACACTTTTCAAGGTGAGCTGCATGTCTTGTCGTCTTGTCTCCCCAAGAATGAAGTGCATCACATGGGTTCGTGAAGTCTTCTACTCGGAAATTCAACTTCCAATTCTCAGAGAGACGGAGCTTCGCTTCTACGAGTGGGGCCGTCGAGAAGTTCTTATAACTTTGTCTCGGAATGTGGCAGATAATGTTGCTTTACTATTTCGAGCGTGTCTCCATTATTATTCTGAGCATTCCGAGTATTCCACCATCCCAAGTATTCAGTTCTTAGACGTGTCTGGTCTTTTCCATTCTTTTCCTCTCCCTCCCTTCGGCCGCCTTCGGCCACTTCTTAGGTCTTCCAAGAGTTGCAGAAGGGCCGCCAGGCGGGAGCGGAGCGAAAGTGGTGGAAGAGTGCCCTGTCACTAGAGGGTTTTTCTATGACAGATGATCACCCTGAAATGTCTCGATTTGAACCGTAGCAGTGTGTAGCAGAGGTTTTTTGTGGCCCGGCCGCAGAATCTTTTTCTTGAGTGACTCACCAGACATGCAAGGTTCCAGAGCTTCTCAAGCCGCCGTCGCGGGGAGTCCCAGGTGTTTGTGTTGCTTTATTTTGTTTTAAATCAGATATACATGAATTAATTTATATATTCTATAATTACCTACCAATAGTTGTACGATACTTTATTTTTTTGCTTTTGGGATCACCCTGTGTTTTGTGGCCCAAGAGGCTTGGATCATCAACAGTCGTCGGGGTGTTTCACGGGAGTCACGGGATCGCTAGTAGGTTGGAGGCCATCGCCATTAGGTTTGTAGGAGTTTGGAGTTTCCGGCGAATCGACCGGCAATCTTAGCAGAGTCGCCTCTCGAAGCGGAGCCATGAGCTCTCATGTCCAGGTCTGGCAGCTTGGTGCAGGCTCTCGGAGTGGGCAGCGGACCACACTGGAACCTTTCAGGGCAACTTAGTTGCTTGGTGGTGAGTGGTGCTCGGCCCTCCAGGGGTGGTGCGTGGTTTCCGAGCACTTTTCCAGGGGAAGCACCTCCATGGATGGTTTCCATCATTCTGTTCAAAAAGAACACTTTTCAGCAATGACCATTGGTGCTGTCGAATGTTCAGGGGGCGGGATTCATCATGGAGACTGTCGTTTGGGTGAACAGGAACCCATGAAAAGTTGCCAGATCCTCACTTCTTGGTTGACCCACTGTCGTACTATAAACAGTTGTTTGTTCTAATACAACTATAAGTTGGATCTGTCATTGCTGCGGCTGTAGGCTACCAACAATGAAACTCGCTCCAACAACATGTTTCTCACCGATCGACACTGGAACTTCACAATATCAGACATGCCAACTGACCATTACTGACCCATTTGCACCATGGGTTTGTGCTCCAGCTGCCAGGCTGCGAAGATGATGGCCCCAGGAGCGAACCACAATGAGCGGAATCCCTCGGCCTTGGTTCGGTGCTCGAGTCAGTGCGCCAGCCCAAGATGATGACCTGGACCAGTTCGGTATAGGTCAAGAGATTGGACCATGTCATGTATAAACATCCAAGAAACGAAGCTTCATACTGATATACAAGATTATAAACGCTTATATATTTATACTAAAACAGCATATATATATATAATATGTACTACATACTGTACATATGTATCACAGGAACATCTCACCGTACCTGTACTATCAGGCCCACGATCATCATGAATCCAATTTCTCACGGTCAAACTCGTCGGCAGGACCCGTGGATGGGCAGACGGAGGCGCCGCCCTGCAAGAAGGGGCTGTCGTGCGGACGGAGATACCCGTGGACCATTTGTGATCTCCAACCTACTAGCGATGGCCTCCAACCTACTAGCGATGGCCCCCACCCTACTAGCGATGACCTCCAACCTACTAGCGATGACCTTC